ACATTCACTTGGTGATTTGTGTCAGCCAAATGCCCCAGCACCGCGCTGACTACTGTCTTGCTGACACCAGTGTAGAGCCAAGCCGGGCAATGTTCTCGTACTCTCTCAGGCAGTCTCCTGGTCGTTTTTCCAATATAACTTGCTCGACACGAGCAAGAAAAATGGTACACACAGAAGGAAATATTCGACCTCGGCAATCTGTCCTTGAGATGCTGACTCACGACTGGCGTAGATGTGAAGCTGACGCGGAGGTCAGCTGCAAAGTAGGTTCTCGCTGTTGCATTGCAGAGCCTTTGAGTAGTTCGTTCTGCTATCACATCACCTTTGAAAGGCAGTGATAAGTAGATTAAGCGCTTTTCAGCGGTGATTGTTTGGACTTTAGGTGCTCGTGGCTCCATGTGTCTCCGGATGAATTTGTCCGGATAACCATTTTGTTCGAGAACGCTTCGAATAAAACTCAGTTCATCTGACAGTGTATCTTCCGTGCATATTTTCCTCGCTCTTTCTGTTAGACAACGGACAAGGTTACGTTTTTGACTCATTGGAACAAAACTGGCGAAATGGGTATACTGGCAGGTCCACGTTGTCTTTCTATGTACTCTCCTCTGTACTGTCCCGTCTGATGTTCTGCTGATGTGGACATCTAAGAATGACAACGAGTTGTTACTTTCAAGTTCTGTGGTGAACACTATGTTGTTATGTGCAGCGTTGAAGTGGGCTAACAGATCTTCGATGCATACTCGATCATCCGCAAAACAAAATATGTCATCTACGTATCGACCGTAGTAAACCAAGTTGTTGATACATTCGTTTAGCTGAGTGTTCTCCAACTTACTCATGAAGACATCGGCGAGTAGCGATCCTAATGGTGAACCCATAGCTACCCCGTCTATTTGTCTGTAAAACGTCTCATTGAACTGAGACTGAATGTTCTTAGTGCACGCCAATATAAGTTGTCTTAAACAGTCATTTGGCATACCGATGTTGATGTTGTGCAATTGGATACACTCGCAGAGATAGTCAATGGTCTCTTCTAACGGGACGTTGGTGAAAAGTGACATCATATCTAGTGAGAACATCTTCCGTCCAGCTAGATTGAGTTGTTGCTCCGAGTCAAGAAATTCGAAATTGTCCCGGAGGCTGTACCTAGATATTGCTTTCCTGACCGGCTCCAGGCGTTTAACAAGCCACTTAGCAGTCAGATGATAGGGAGAGTTGCACATGTCCAGTATCGGTCTCAACGGTACACCTTGCTTGTGGATCTTAGGTAAGCCATAAAGCCTCGGAATCACGGTTCCACTAGGTCTGGCGTATTCAAAAGTGTCAGAGTCTATGATGTTATTTTGTTTCAAACGCCGCAAAAGTCTTGTCATGGTCTTCTCAATTGCCGGCGTCCTGTCTTTCTCGTTTTGCACTTTGCGAAATTTCGATGTGTCTCTTAGGATGGTGTTCATCTTATCAATATAATCTGACTTGTTCATCAATACAATCCCGGCTCCTTTGTCCGGTCTAGATAACAAAATATCCTCGTTTTTCTTGAGTTCCTTCAGAGCGTCCAAATGCCTGTTCTTTAGAAGATATTTGATGGTCGGTTTACTGGTGTCACTGCCTTTTGGAATCGGCTTAACCACTGAGCATTTCCAGTCACTTAGCAGCGAACCTTCGAATAGTGATCTGTTGAGGATACCAGTCACAGCATAAGTGGTTGTAGGGTGGCGTATGCCGAGGAATACTGGGGAACCGGAAACACAAAACATGAGATATTCGGGAATTACCAACGGGCGCAATGGATAAAACGAGACAAGGCATTGCGGGCCTGGCGGATCGAGCCGAGAGTGAAGCACGAGCGAAGTCTTGTAACGAGCGTAGGCCCAGAACAACGGAGAGGGTATTTGTCGAGAACTCAGTAAGCAGACAAATACACCGCTAGCAAAACCCACCGGACTGCACGCGGGCCGAGTTATGCAATCACGGGGAAGTAAATTATGTGAATTCGAACGACTCCTGGCTGGCCAGAATCGGATATAGTGAAGCAACGATACGCGATGAAGACATGGAGGGATTGTTCCCAGGCTCCAGCTCGTAGGCAAATGGAATGACTCATCCCATTAACCCTCATCCGCGGCGCATCGTGGGAAGGAAACACGGTCCATGTCTGTAGGCAATTGCGGGTGGTGAGTTTGCGTATCGTTGTTGCAGTACATGCACTGCCCATCCTACGATGATGGCCGATAGGCACTTGCGAATCAGTGGGCGGAGAACGTCAGGGCCAGCAGATTTACTGCAACCAAGATTGGCGAGTAGTTGATTCATTACTTCTAGACCGCAAACCAGACTGTCGAGTTCGGCAAGTGCGGTGGATGTTGAACTCTGTACATACACCTGGTCGTTTGCAAACACGAAAGCGATGTGCGCAGCCAAGGCGGATGCACGCTCAGGGCTAGAGGTTATGGACTGTCCGTCCTAGCCCTCCATCACTTGCAGTTCACCTGCTAGCTGTGCTGCACACAAGCAAATATTCTTTTCGAAGCTGTATATGCGGTGGTTGTGAGCTGTTGTTTGGACTAATGCAGCTTGACTGGTTCAAATTCAATGGGACAAACTGAGAACACAGTAATATTAGCCTTTCTCAAATAACAGTACAAAGTCTTCTGCAGATGCATTTGGCAGCAGAGACCAATCAACTTGGCTCGCGGCTTGAGTTAGACCGTCGGCGTTAGTTTTTCAGTAGTTATAAACTAGATCCAACGGACGAGAATACGGTAAAGATAGTTCCATACTGGCTATGAACACTATCGTTTGCTGCTAGTGACTCTACAACCTGAACGTCGTACACATGTTGTTCTTAGCTTTTTAACATCAAGTTCAGACACGAAGGAGTTTAGCGCAGCGTTATTCGAGTGAGTCGGTATATGTGTTGCGCTGCCCCACTTCCAATTGCCAAGTCCACGAACTTTGTTTCGACCTCGCCATGTCTTGGTCTAAGTTCAACTTCAGGTCAGCGTACTCGAAGACAATTGAAACGCATGAGCAGAAAATGGCGACGACTGGTGTGACCCCGGAGATGCAATGGCCATTCCAAACAACGGCTCACGACATTGCGATAACACGGACAGCACCCTGACTCTGAGGTGGATGGAGCACCAAAGCTCCTCACACAGACCATCATCGCTTCTGTAGACGTTCACAACTCTTACACACAGGAAGGACCGGATTTGGAGCAAGACGCCATCACGGGCAATCGATAGTCTATAGCAGCAGAATCATGCGTAGCCACTGAGTTGGATTTCCTAGACTGTCACCTCCGAATACAGCCACGTCTCTGCCACTCTCATTACGTCTGACTGTTTAGATGCAACGAAACAACAGCGTTCATCGCACTTGTTCGGAAGACTACAAATGCTGATAAACGATACAAGCAAGCCGCAGCAGGAACCATCATGCCTGCTTAAAGTGTGAGTGACCTGTTTATCCCCATTCGTGGAATCTTTGAATTGACCCGAAATTTTACGATACGAAATATTTTTCCCATCAAGGATGGCAGACTTGAGTACTTTTTGATCGGAGCTTTAGACATTTAACCTATTTAGTCGGGAGAAGATAAGTCTCGGACTGACCTCCTCCACATAGAGGATACTCATTGGTCGACATTGTTGATAATCTTTCACTCCAAAACGGGTATTGTTATTATTCTTGTGTAATCGCAGTCTGTCAACAGACATTGTGCCATCAGAACCATGGCAGAAAGAAGGTGGAGGAGATAGGAACACGAACTGCGATTAAAAATAAGGAACGATATTTTCGGTTTTATACACGCCATTTTGAATGTTTAATGTTTCTATTTTGTGTGTTTTGTGTGTGTATTAAAGAGGGGATATAATGGCAGAACAACATTGACGCCACTGATGTCTGTTGCGGGCCATGACATCTAATGTTTCCAACCACTGAGATTCAGCATCACGTGGTCCCCAACCTGGAATACGGACTGGTGCGACTGCCGCCAAACTTGGGGTTGCATACTTCCTGCGCAAAACGTGCACGAGTCAACGCAGCGACGTCGGAGAATAACATCCTGAAGACTAGCACTATTCGCCCCAAACACGTGGTATCGCACTTCGGCGTTGCTTACATGGTGTTGCCACCACACCCGAGCAACCTTCGTAGACAGCCATTGTCGAAGACTGAGAGCCGCTTCATATCTTCCGAGCGAATTGGCCAAGTCTCACAGCCGTACAAGAGTACTGCGCGGACGGAAGCATTGTACACCCTGCTCTTGAGCTTGAGACTAACATCAAGACGACGCCGTAGCTACTTGAAGTCACTTTATGCAGGTATGGTCTCTAATGACCACATGAATTTCAGTGGACACTGTTATGTATATACAAGGGAGGAGATCGTCAGGATCCTGCGAACTACCAGTCGATCTCTCCGACAACGATAATTTGTAAAATCATGGAAATAAGTTTCAAGGGAGCCCTAGATCTTCACCTAGGGAATTTGCATTTTAACTCATGCGCTCAACATGGTTTTCGGAAGGCACGTTCCTGTGTCTCTAACTTGCTTGTCGCCAGCGAAAAACGGGTGAGATGGCTGAATGTCGGCAATCGTCTGGGTGTCGTTCTCATCGACTTCAGTAACGTAGTTGACAAAGTTCCTCATAGACGTCTTCTTTTTAACCTCAGGGAAATCGGCGTTTCTGGGAAGATTCAATTTTGGGACACTGACTTACGGAATTGCCGAAGCATGAAGGGAAAGTGAACGATACCTACTGCAGTCCTGATTTCATGCTCACGGAGGTCACGCCTGGCTCCGTCCTTGGTCCTGAGCTCTACAAAACCTACTTCAATATTCTTCCATCCGAGCTCCGAACTGATTAACTCATATATACTGGTTATCTGAAACTATGGCTAGAGGTATCAAAGCTTTGTGATGCTGATCGGCTACAGACACTGTTGAACTGGTTACACTGCTAGCAGTGGACTGGCGGCTACCCATTAACCATGGTAAGTATTCTGTCTCCCAATTGGTGCCTCGGACCCTATTGGTGCTTATCACATTGGAGGTTCCCTGCTCACGAAGGCAACCTTGGGGAAGGACCTGGTTGTTCTTGTCTTGCCAAACCTACGCACCAATCAGAACACCCTAAAGAAAGTTTCCGTTGCTAATATGGTGCTCTTTGCTATAAGAGGCTCATTTCCCAGTTGGCTGCAGAGACTTACCCACTTTTGTTTAGTTCTAATGTTCGGCAAAGTGTTTATTACTGATTGCCAGCAACCCATCCTTTTACGAAAGCCGACTGCGTACTGACAGAGTAGGTTCAGCGGCGGAGATCGAAATCTTTCATGACACTCAGAAACCTGTCTTCCACTGATGTCCTTCAAAGGATGCACTTGTGCTACCTAGAGTATCGTCTTCGCCGTGGTGACTTGGTTTACACGAGGCGTATTCTACGAGGTGAGATGTGTAACGAGGTATAATAGATCTCTCGTCATTGTGCGGATAGTGCAACACCACTCAACGGTATGAAGCTGTTTAAATCAAGGAGGCATTGGGTTCGCTCTGATGTCACTTTGTCAACGCGTGTGGTGAATGACTGTGACAGTTTACTTGAGGTAGTCGTCAGTGGGCAGACAATGACGTGTTTCCAGCGGTTGCTAGACATCTATTTGATGTACAAGTATGCATCTGGCTCTATTGATTGTGACCGCAATGCTCTCTTGTGGTACACTGTGCCACATTCACTCACATAATCCCTACAGTGAGCGCGAACTGATGGCTCTGACGAAGGACTTCCAATTTACTACAACCCAGAGAACCGACGTTCACAGTCCTTGTTGTGAAATAATAATAATAATAATAATAATAATAATAATAATAATAACTCTTATTATTGTACATTAGAAAGACAATTCAGCGCAGGAAAGCATCCAATTCGAAAATTTTCTGCACGAAATACAACTCTCACTTCTTCTACTGAATCACACATTTCTCTCTCCTATTATTAGCTGCTCGGTCTTTTGACGCTGAATTGTGATGGTTCGTCAACCCCCCGAAACCGACCAACGCCATGTGCACAGACGTGCGAAGCACAAGAACAGATTTCTATCAATGCCATGCACAGAGACGACCTATCGGCGGAAGAAGAACAGCGTTTTACAAACCTTATCAACTGCCTTAGTCAATGCACACTTGGCTACACCCTATTCCCGACTAACTCAGACTAACTGGTTCAAAATGACCTTTAAGTATTCATACATTCAATGCCTCGGTTTCGTTTGTCATTTTTGACTTGGTGTGTATCAAATAATACTACCAATCCATCCATTCTCATGGCACTACTTTACATTAATGATGCGGCGCTATAATCGCAAAACCTTTGATCATTGCAACGAAAACAATGCGCGCTATTTGAACTATCCTAGTTACCATCGCATTCTGCACAACTGAAGCTTTCGTATGATGATGAGGATGTTAGCCTGATCACGTCTACAGATTATGCACATCTTAGTTGGTTACCATCGCTTGGACTGAGCGTCAAACTTGACAAAACTACAGAAAGCTCTCGTTACATTTCATGCATTCGATGGCCTAACACAACGGTACCTTATCCACTACGCGTCGGTTTCTTGCATTTGAATTCTGTATTTGAAGACACAGTAGATTATGGACAGACCCAATGCTTGAGATGAACATTGGAACAACGGAACAGTGATGTATTACGGGCAAAATGCAATGTTTAACAAGTCCCATGGGATGAAAATTAAGGCGAAAATACACATTCTTGGTGACGTGGGAAGCGTTTTGCCGCGTTGACCATAGACATGTATAGTAAAGCGGAGCTGTTCGTGTATTAAAAGGAAAAATCTATAATTTTATTGTTTATGACATTGGTAATACATCGTCTGACTGCATTTTGTAGCCCCATGGTTGAAAAGTTATAAACTGAAATGCAAATTGGACAACGCATCTTCAACTCGTTTTTTAAGAATCGCCAGATTGGGGACAGAGACGACCTAATTTGGGAGAGCGTTCCAAGGCTGACACTTGGAAGAAAAATAAATTTCTACGGCATTAAAGCCGGCTATACCATATTGTCAGTCTCAGATGATGACCTCTTAGGTTAGTATTGTGGTTCAGTTTCAGTAGCGGGCGGCATATGCGGTTGGGTACTTCAGAATCTAGTAAACCAATATGCGATCCCCAAAAACGCCGGTATCAATCGCTGTACATTCTTAGAGATTTCACTCTAAGGTGATAGGGTTGATGAAAGAGGCATCTAACGTATTTGATCAACCTTCGTTAAGGAGCCTCGTGAGCAACGAGATCCTGTTTCTGCCACCTATGTCACACTTGCATGGGGTATTCCACTTGCGGTTGCACGCAGGCGTTAAAGGTTCGAGGGAAGATTGAAAGTTCAAACCGACAGAACGCTCTGCGAAGAAGGCCGAAGTGTTGGTTACCGGTTCCCGACGCCTTATCTACTCGCTTTGAGCGTCCGATATCTTCCTGTACCGGTACACCCAGGTCATGCTCCTTAGAGCCCTTCTGCTAGGTACGGCCTCAAAGGTTGTAAACGCTCACCGACTGGTGACGCAGATGGATCACCTTGCACTTAACTGTGTTCGACTAGAGTAGGTTCCTAGCTGACCATTCATAAATGCAATCTAGGTAATGTTGGAGTGGATCGGGATCTTCCTTGTTATTGGTCGCCCGTAGGATCTTGACATCATCGGATAAAGCAGAAAATTAGAAGAGAAAATCCTTGCCAGTTCGTTGGTAATCACAAGGAAAGTGCGCGGTCCCAGTACCGAGCGATGTAGGACAATACAATGCAACTCAGTGGCCTTGGCGAGTGATCCCATAACACGCACCTGAAGCCTATGTTGGTGAAAATAGTTGCCAATCCAATCAAGAACAGGATCTCCGATTCCATAGCTCTGTTGCCTGTGAAGTAGAATGCAGTGATCCGGGCGGTTGAAAGTTTTGGAGAAGTCAAGTAGCTGAATTCGACACCGATCGCACCATCAGCCACTTCCGTTCAAATACCTCATGTCATCAGCAGGGTGGTGGTGGTGCATGGCCGGTGATGATGGAAGTCATGCTGCTCCGGTAGCAAGATGTTACATTTTTCCAGGTGGTCCGTTAGTGTCTCAGCGATGAGCGCTTCCGTCACGTTCGCGAGCACAGGAAGGCGATAGTTTGCAGGGTCTGAACGGCTACCGCCTTTAAAATTTTGGGTTATCATGCCATGCTTCCTAATGGCAGGAACTTGCTGTTCAGCGAAGCACTTTTGGAAGTACTGTGACAGTGCTTCAGCTAGCTATGCGTTCTCGACTTTCAGTGCTTTCGGACGGATGTTGTCTGCTCTCGGAGAGCTATTATTACTCAGTGAGCGTAACTTCCTTAGGACAATTGTTGCGTTGAAAACTACAGGTTCAAACCATGGAGTCGGTAATGTGCTTGACGTTATGGGACAAGTATAGGCTGCATGTTTGTCAGTTGGGGTGTATTGTAGCCGCAGTGCGTTAGCTGCTACTTCGGCGCTTGTTATTCTACCGCCTGATGTGAAAAGTGGAGGGATGTCATGTTTTATTTTACGAATACTGCTTACATGGCTATACAGTACTTTGTTGCTTGCTAGGAACTTCTTGGCAAGACAATGTTGATAAGTTAATTTGTCCTCGCGTACAAGTGTGGTCCAATGGTTGCGATGGATCAGGAAATGGTACTAAAATTCCGGTTCGTATTTGAGCTTATAAACACGCCATGTTGCATCCATTCTGCCATGCATTTTCGAAACCCGCTTCTTAGAATTGAAGGCCTTTCTGCGGAACGAATGGGCTTGGTCACTGATGCGCTACTGACCATGTCAATAAGACTTTCAACGAACTCTGTCCAAACGTATTTCAGTAGTCTTTTACTCGAGAATTCCATGGCGAATGCCTCGACGAGTTCTTTCATAATGTAGTAGCGTGTGGTTGTGTGTGTCAGTTCAGAGTGTTCAGGTGGATACTCTGCAAAATACCCATGATTGAACGCTATTCCTACATGGTCGCTTAGCCCTGATTGGCTCTTCATCAATAACTTGTCAATCATTAGCCCTTCATTTGTGACCACAAAGTCCAATATGGATGGTTTGTTTGCTGTCCTGAATCTAGTCGGCTTGCTGACATGATTGTACAAGGGAATATTAGCGATAATTTCATGCAAATCTGCTGTGTACTGTTCATTGGGTGATGCAGATACCTCCAGATCGTGTAGGTTAAAGTCCCTGAAGATGAGAATGTGGCGGTACCTAGTGCATGTTATCCTGTTCAAGGAACGTTTCAAGCATAGAGTACGAGATTGTAGTGTGTGTTTTCGTTGAATGTTGGTAGATTCGTTGGGTCTAGCGCTTATCCTTAGTTACATCCAACTGGTGCTCTCGTTGCCAGTTTCCACGTGTAGAAATTACGAATCGTTGTAGGGATTATTCCGTGTGCCTAATGTAGACAATCTTGACAATCTTTACTCATTGGGCTTAGCCGAAGTGCATTCCCATATTGCACCCCGTTTTCCACCTTGCCTAGAGGGTTGACACTGACGGGCAACTAAGTGAGGAGCAGGTCAGGGAGCAATGATGAACTTGGTATGTTGCGATGCTACGGAATGTGTGCTCATCTACCAGAATATCGAACATGGAATTACCCTTAGATCTTAAATGGTTACTTTAAATCCTCTTAAATGATTTTGAGATTTTGAGCTTACCGTCAAAGATAGCGGAGCAAGTAGCTCATTGAGCCAAAAAGCGAATCAGATGTGGTAGGAGGACTGTGCCGCATACGTTGAATGTCAGTAATTGTTTATATTGAAAGACTCCAGTGACTTTTAATTTGATCTGTTTAGTAGAAACGAGCAAATAAACTGGAGGCTGAACAGAAGTATTCCGACACAATATTAAAAACATTACACCACGTGATTTTGCTGGGAACGTGGAATTGTTAGGCATGTAGTTATGAGTAGCGACAGGTACATGAACGGATATGTATATTAAACTGACACACTATTTGCTAGTAAGGTATTTATCAATAGCTGAGAATACCTCTAACTATTAACTACTATGTGCTGTCTCCTCATTACAATTAACTCCAAGATTGATTTCACATTTATTTATAATCTTTGTCTTTTGATAGCATGAATGCGAATCGAATCAGGGCAGCTTTGCCGTCAGTCAACGCCCCTGGCGCTATTCCAGTAACTAGCGAAGGGCAACGCTTCTCACAACAATTGACCATTGTGCGGGGATCAATTTGTCCTGCTCATTGCGTAACTTGATTGCGACCAACTAACTCATTGTGGATCGTGTTTAGGTGATTCTTTTATTGTAGTCAGGAAAATCACGAATTGCCGCGTATAGGGTTATCGGTGCATCATAACGGTCGTTGCGCTCTAAGGTGGCTGTGGAACACACGGGGATACATATTTTTGATGGACGTAAATGTGAGGCTGTTTTCCGTCACGGTTTGCTAAGACAATGTCGAAGAACAAGTTAGCTCTAAGTAGCACTATTTTGACCAGAACCTCGTCGGTGCACATCGACGTGTGCATGGAACGAGAACGGAATTTCCACGAAGCACAGATACGGTTCTCCGGCACGCACAATGAGCTCACTTTGGTTTGCCACTTAGAATGTGAGGTATATTTTGCTGAGGTGCTCCATCGTATACGAACGAAAACAGTGCGTAGGCTACAGGTTTCTCTTGCAAAAGTTACTTTTGCTTCCTACCCTAATGAGTGTCCCAAGCACATATGTAACAGATCATCTGGTCCTTTCACTCACACGTAGTTGGAAGTTCTCTCGCCTGGAAGGAAATATCGGTTGCTACCAAAGACGATAGGTAGGTTTAGCACGCAGGCCCACTTTGAGCATGAACAATGAAAAATGATTCATCACGGGAGAAAAGCAAGTGCTTGACAGGTCCTGCAGATTGGTTGGGGTGAATACGATGAAATCAAAATAACTGTGAGTCATCTACTGAGCGTCTACCGAGATGAATGCATTGATAAATAACGCCAAAGTAACATAAAAATCATGTATAAGCATGCATAAATACACGGGTGCAGTGGTCGTTGATGAAAAGGGTGAGCAAAGTAAATTATGGTCAATCAGTTATGCTCCGTCTTCTTGGGTCTATGTGACACATACATCCAGTAGAAGGGCATGATTTGTTCAATCCAAAATGGC